CTAAACAGGTGTGTTTTATTTGCTGGGTGACCACCAGGCCACAGTTCTCAAGACTGCATTTTCAAATTCCCTGGAATTCTTCAATCCTTTGCAGCTATAAAGATTAGTTTCCAAGATCATTAACAAAAGGTGCTTGTCATACCGTACAGGAGGATTCCTTCCTAATGAATACTATCCTTGCTGTTCCACCTCCTGCCTCAGGACAACCTTAGGAACATGAGCCCGGGGTTACTGGAATTTACTTTAATTAAAAGCCTGGCCTCCAGTGAGCCACCCTGCAATCTGTCATATTTCTTGCTTTTTGAATGAGGCCTTGTTTTTTTTTTTTTTTTTTTTTTTGCTTATGATTGAACATCTCTAACGCCAGCCTGTCTGGGAAGGACATGGCTTTGGTTCCCAGACTGAGCTGTCAGCAAACAAGTCACCCAGACCAGGGAGCCACAGCCCTGCCCCCCAAGTGATAGACAATCTAAACATTCTGTTAGGAAGAAACTCAGGGCCTGGGATACCTCTGCCACAGGCCAGAGTCATGCTTCTCTGTTTTAGAAAACTGACCTATCTTTTGCCCAGCCCACCAGCCTGAGGTTGTTAAGGATTCTAGAATTACTTTTAAAGTTAGGGATAGGCTGGAGAGATGGCTCAGTGGTCTAAAGCACCTACTTGGAACAAGCTTGGCAAGGCATTGGGGACCGCGGTTCAATCCCCCAGCACCACATGCCAGCCAGCCCGCCCCCTGGTGGGCTGAGCTGGCCACACACACCTCTCTCTCTCTCTCTCTCTCTCTCTCTCTCTCTCTCTCTCTCTCTCTCTCTCTCTCTCTCTCTCTCTCTCAAATAAATAAAAAAAAAAAATTAAAAAAAAAAAATAAAGTTAGGGATGGCTGTGTGCATGAGAACTGAAACTGGCTGGCGCTTTGAGAATCCACACCCAGCGGCAGAGCACAGGGACAGGCCAGGAGGTGGCTTTTCACCCTAGTGATCATGGCTTCCTGTCTTTCCAGAAATCCTGTTGTCATTTATCCCAGGTGGACCTGGGATTCCAAACCCCAGGACAGTAAATTCTGTTGAATGAAGTGACTTCTTTTCTTTGAACCTGGGGTCCCCTGTGCTGTCCCCTCAGAGGCTGGTCACTGGAATATAGTTCATAAAATTAGTTTGGGGTGCTGGAGGGGTAGGAGTGATGGGTCAGGGTCTTGCAACAAAGGAGTTTTCTCTGTGTTTCAGGCAGGGAGCACTGTGGCCACCTGAGACCTACCTTTGTTCCCATGCTCCAAGCAGTCTTAAGCATCCTGACCTGAGTTGACAGGTGCCTGATGTGTGGTCACTTGCATTGACTGCAGCTGTCAGGAAAATCCTGTTCCCTGGCCTCCTCGTCTCCCTTTGACTGTGGAGAAGCTGGGGACCCAGAAAAGGAGACAGTATAGCAGGACCTGAGGAGCTGAGGCCCAGAGGGCAGACTGCCAGGCAGGACCAGTCCGCACCTGCCCACCACAGCACCTCCATGAGCTACCCTGCGTCCGCAAGACACAGATACAGTCCTTCCCCTCTGTCTCCCACTCTCTCTCCCAGAGAGTCACGTGCACTGATGCGCATCCTCTTTGGAAAATATGATTCAGCCTCTCTGTATCCGAGGTTATGAGCCATTTGCACATTCGTTTGAATTAGGTCCAGCAGCTTCCATT